CTTCCTGCTCCTCCCTTCTGCAAATGGATGTGGGTCATGCATACTCGCTACATTCCCTTGAGCTGTCCCATTTATAGGATGATTTGCGGCTGCCCCAAGCCCCACACATTTTGGGGGGCCTCAGCCGTCCTATGAATGGGGCCACCTTGGCCCAGGAGATTACCATGCGGCAGCAGGGATCTCCCACAGCTGCTGCGGCACTTCCTGCTCCTCCCTTCTGCAAATGGATGTGGGTCATGCATACTCGCTACATTCCCTTGAGCTGTCCCATTTATAGGATGATTTGCGGCTGCCCCAAGCCCCACACATTTTGGGGGGCCTCAGCCGTCCTATGAATGGGGCCACCTTGGCCCAGGAGATTACCATGCGGCAGCAGGGATCTCCCACAGCTGCTGCGGCAGCAGGAGCTGGAACTCCCCAGCAGTCTGATCTGCTCCTCTCCACCGCCGGCTGCCAGCCCGCTGCACCCCACTTCACTGTGGCAGCAGGAAGCAGAGCTCCCGGCCCCCGGGCACTTCTCTTCCTGCTGCTGCCGTAACGCGGAGGGCAGCAAGCTGGGAGAAGATGATGGAGAGGAGCAGGCTGCCGGCTGGATCTGGCTCCTGCCACCCTGGTGAGTGTAGAAGGGCAACCCCTCCCTCCCGCCCCCGCTGAACTCCCAGCTTGCGTTGCTTGGGGGAAGTGGCTTCAGGCAAGGGAGTGGAGTAGGGGCAAGGTGGGGTGGAGTGGAGCTGGGACAGGGCCTGCAGTGGGAGGGGGGGGGTCCCAGACCTTGTGCTTTCCTAGGGACGGCCCTGGATTTGTGGAGAGAACCGTAACTGTTTCAAAGGGTGCAGGGAAGACACTGACCCCAGTGCCCGGTGCAGAAGGGAGATGACGCTGGAGGGGTGCAGTAGCCACTGTGATGCTCCAGTTCTCTGGGAAACGGTGGCTTTGAAGATCACCATTTCTTGGCGCTCCTGCTGACACAGTGAAAGGGCCCCGCTCCGCCCCCAGAGATAGGTCTGGGCACAGGAGGCGCAGTAATGAGCTCACGATACAACCGCAGGAGGGAGAGACTGCAAAGCGTTTTGCCTCAGAGGGCAGGCACAGGAGAGAGCTTGCGATAAAGAACCTAGGCAGGCAGCGTTCTCACGCAACGTCCGTGGGATTCCAGGGTTGTGCTGGTGTGTGAGAAGGAGTGTGACCCTCCCCACTGAGAGTGTGAACAGTTGAGTCTGGAATTGAGAATATGCATCGGGATCTATAGGCCCTCTCCCACCACTTAAGTGTGACTCAGCTTCAGGAGTGGCCCTAGATGAGCTGCCGGCAACTGGTGCCCTAGGCAAATCACGCGATCGGCCCCCCCGCCTCCAAAGCCCTCAACGGCTGTTTTTCTTGGTGCCCTAGGCGACCGCCTAGGTCGCCTGTATTGATGGGCTGCCATAGCTCAGCTTTGATGTCCTGCTACATCCTACCAGTGAAGAAGGATGGGGGAATCCACTCTCCGGCCTGAGCGAGTAACACAAACACAGGATACTAGCAGGCTGGTTAGCCCATAACAATCCTGGACACCAGCCTTCGAAATAGGTTGTTGAGAGGAGTCTATGGCAGCTGCTTGTCCATATTACAATGCCACACTGTTAAGTGAGAGACTGACCTTAACTGTCATTGCTTGACCGGCCCAGGCCAGGGTACACTTCTGATCAGGGGTGTAATGTATTGGCAGTGCAGTGTTTTATGTTCAAGACCAGTAGCTCAAGCAACTGATTGTGTCAGGGTTGGTTGTCTCACATTGCATCATTTGTTTTATATGATGAAGTTACCAAGAGATTCTTGCTAATTCTGAGTCTTGGATATTGTTGTTTTCATTTATAGAGTCGACGAGAAGACTAAAAAATACTTAACCCCTTTTATAAGGCAAGGAAAACATTCACCAGCAGGGCATTATAATGTCAGCTTGAGCACATCGGTAAGCTTCCTCCTTCTCCTGTAGTGAAAACGATGTATTTTAAACGTCAGTGTTTACTTTCATGCCATTAATATCTTTCATTTCAGTCTTTTCTGGATAGCCAACTTGCAAGAAATATTTCCTGTTGGCTTGGGGACATCATACATAATAGTTTACTCACAGTTATGTGACTGTATTGTACTGGAATATTATTTAAGTTTGCTCTCGGAGAGGTCTAAGGCGATAGACATGTATTCATCTAGACAAGTACAGATAGTTTCTGGCCTGGTGGGAGGAGAGACAGATGTTGGCTATGGTGACCAAGCAGTTTAGGATTTACATTTAGAAGGTTCTGGGGACAGATTGTCAAAACGAATGACTCACTCTCGAAAATGACTGCCTAGCAGCTCTTGTGGAAAAGGTCATGTGGGTTGAAAGCTTGATGTTAGTCACTTTCAGGCAAAACTCTCAAGATGAATAGGCGTTTTGTCTGAGGAAGGACTGCACAGTTAAGACCACTTGCCGGTTTTGGTGTTCTGTGTAATTATAGGTGGTTTCCTTTAATAACTAATTTCCCAAAGCTTGCCTTGAGGGTTATTGAACAGAATGTTTCTAGAAAAGAATACAGGTTGTTTTAGTTCTCCGACACCTGAGGAAGCTTCATAGCACAGAATGTCTCACTTCTTTTAAACCTGAATGGTTTCACTTTTAGTAACCTTAGCTTTGCTCTGGATGTTACTCATGGAAATCAATCCCTTGGTATCAGGTCTCAAATGAAAAGAACGTTCTTCAGGCAAACAAGAAAAGATGGGAATTCTCCAAGACAGATGTGCGTTTGCCTGAGCTAACCTATAACCATCTCCCTGAACTCAAAGGAGTGGACGGTATGCGTTTTAATTTTCCGTTAATTAAACTGGATGATAAATCTACTATGTATTTGAGAGAGTTTGTCTGTTCAAGAACTCCTCCTGAATGGTAAGAGCGAGGACAACCAAATTCGGAATACAGCTTCCTCTTGTGTGTGCCATAACTTAAAGCAAGGTGAGGGGTTTGGTTGTGCTGGGAAAATGGGAAGTGCCAGGAATGGGATTGCTTCTCAGAAAACCATACAGAAAAGAGACAGAATCACCAGGCAGGTGAAAAGGACTGGCAGGGGTGTCCCACCCCCAGAACTGCCCTAGCTCTGAGTCCCCCCACCAAGACCTTTAAGGAGAGCAGGGCGACTGATGCTCTCCCTCCCCCAGAGTCGTACGGGAACACGCCTGGCTGTTCCACCTTGTCAGGGAGCGAGGGGAAACTGCACAGTTTGCTGCATTCCTCATTGTAGTTGGGAGGTACAGGGAGGGAGATGAACCTGGACCTGCCCCCACCCGGGGACATGCACCCCTTCCCTGGCTGTGCCAGCTAGAGCTGCAGTGGCCATGGAGAGATGCTTTTCACCTGGCCCCAAGCTGCTGTGGTGAGAGAGGGCTGGAGTAGTTCTTTTGCTGCAGGACAGCCTGCATTCCTGAATCCACATCCCCCGCTGTGCCCCAGAGCAATCATTTACATGAAGAAAAACAATAATTAAGAACCCGACAATGCCAGGTAAATTTTCTAGTACATTATAAAGAGCAGTATACGTTGCATCAAGACATTTATTTTTAAATCATATTAGCATGTGACAATTTTTCAGAGGGAAATATTGACACTATGCTTGAAAATAACAAGTCCACAGCAGTCTGTCTCTTTGTTTGTCTTCTGCAGCTCGAAATTCCAGATTTGTCAAAAAGGAGAACAAAACGGTCTCAGAGTCTCGCATCCCGTCTCTTGCCACCATCGATCTTCACAACCCAAGCCTGGCTTTGCAACAGGTGATGATACGGTGAAATGCTTTGCACCAATACAGTAGTGCCTTTCTTCTAGGGTGTTCCCAGAGCATTGCACCCAGCAGGAGCCAAAAGATTCCAGCCCGTCTCACATTACATTCCAGGGTTTCAGTCGAGCAGCAGCATACTTACTGGAGTAATCTATTTTATTTTAAAAAATGCAGCTTTGGAGCCTGCTGGGGAAAAGAACCATTTTGGGCAAACTTTTGGCCCAGATTTATGATCTTGGGATTGTCTTGGGGCAGAGTCCATGTTCGAGGTTCACAGTAAAACCCCGAATCATGTGAGTTTGACCTGTTTCCAGGATTTGTTACGCACAGCATGTGGCTTACATGGGTGAATTGAGATGCAGACCAATCCAAAATCCATAGTTACGCAGCAAGTGAGTGGCAGGGTGGGAAAGAGAACTCCATTTGAGCAGAAATAGTTTGGCCATGCTAGATACAGAAACAAGGTGAAGGATGGGAAAAATAAGTTTTTTTGCAACTTTGTTTTGTTTAACGACACGAGGGCCTCAACATGCATTCAAAACTTGTAATTTGGGAGGGGTGTCATTCTTAGGTCTTCATTAGGCCTTTTCTTGGTCCAGTGACAATTTTTGTTTAGAGTTGGCATAGCGTTATAGATTTAGAAATGTACTTTATCCATGTATGCTGATCTGTGATATAGTCAATGAAAAATCTGCTTATGTTCTATTGATATTGTACTTGGGACAGGCAGAAAGTTATTGATACTGCTTTTAGTTTGGTATGCTAGGAATTAATATTAATATTTGTTTGACTGACAGATATCGGGAACGTCACTGCCAGATGCTTCGGAAGCCGGCTTCCCTCGAGTAGAACGCTAGCCCGGAGAAGAACTGAGCAATGGGGGTAACATGTATTACTTTCTGCAGCTTAGCCTCTTGTTGCCTTTCAAAAAGAACAGTCGACAAGGGCTGGTACCTTTTGTGGGTTCACTGAAGAAAGAGCCTTCCAATGTTCGATATCACCGTTCGCAGCATACTCATCTTTAGAACGTGTTGTGCTGTTGCCAAGCAGGTGAGACCAGTGCATGACTTTGTGAATGGGTCCCTTTTCCTGCATTGTGCTGTGTAGTTCCATTCATGTGCATCTTGATCCGAGGTGGATTTTTTGGAAAACTGACTTGAGGTGGTAGGCGCCAGAGAGGAGGCTGGAATGCATTGTGGAGTTGTGTGTATCTCTCTTGAAAAGATGGTTATCCAACAGAAAATATAAATCAGTGTGTTAGGATACTGACTAACTCCTGGCCTGGGGAGAAGAGCTGTGCCAACAGCATGCAATTTGTCCCTTGGACCCCTTAACGCCATTCATCTGAAGAAATGGGTTGTGCCCACGGAAGCTCACGATACCATCTACATGTTTTCTTAGACTCTAAGGTGCTGCAAGACTATTTGTTGTTTAAGCTTATTCTGTTACAGACTAGCACGTCTATCCCTCTGAAGCATACAATTCTGTTATCGAGTAGTAAACTATTTTTCATTTAACCCCCCGGTGCCTATATACCTATGGCCAGTTGTGAGCCCAGTGCATCAGTAAGAAAACAGGATTACCAACATTTATGAGCCAAGAAAAGGTAGTAGCTCCTGGCTACTACAGGTAGTAGTGACTACACTTGAACTTTTTTAAAGAAAAAGAGAATACTGGCAAATTCAACAGACCCAAAAGACTGATATATGGGAAACTTAGATAACAGAAGAAAAAGAATCACTGACTACATGTTAAAGAAACACTGTCACCATAACAATTCTAATTGGAAAAATGTGTCAATGTGCTATTGATAATGTCTACATTTAAATGTTAAAACTGAATGAATTTTAAAAATCTAATATACTGTTTGCCATTTGCTTACTGTTGTCATTTCACTAATTTTGGGTAGTGAAACTTCAACTGCACACTTTCCTCCTGACTGGTTCCCAGGCTCTGGCATAGAGCTGATGTCTTTTGATTACCAACACTACAGGAAATCTGTTTAAAGGTTAATAAATCATGTTTTTGTGAAATCTTTATAAATCAGTATAGCTATTTGTGTGTTTTGGTAATAACCTGTTAATATAAAACACTAATTTTGCTTCTAAACTACTGACAACCTCTCTAAAGTATCAACTGTCTGAAGATAAATATTTGTGTTAACTGCATATCCTTATCTATATACTTCACCCCTCTCAACAACCTCCTGCAAATACTGACCCCGCTCCTGAATGCGATACTGGGAAGGGCTAAGGTAATACTGGATATAAAATTCACTTCAGGGATTGTTACCATCCAAGATCAATTAAATCAAGAGATGTCTCTGGAGTTTATATTGAGAATATTTGAATGGTCTATGATTCTGTAGCATTAGTGCCTGTAAATTGTTGAAATGGATCTGACAGTAGCTTAAAGAAACACCAACAAGTTAAAATCCAGTCAGTTAAGAGAAGTGCGTGAAAACTAATTTCTGGTGTTTCCACTCTACCAGCTGTTTTATAGTTGCATTTTCCTATTTGTGTGTTGTGTGTTGGAGGTGTTTTTTTTTAAATGTTCTTTCTTGTTGAGGAAAAGACTTGCACAAATAAGGGAAACGGACTTTGCAGAGAGAATGGTACGATGCTGTCAAATGCACAAAGTAAACAAACTGCAAACAGGAAGAAATTATGTTTGCTGACTTTCTGATGTAACAATCTTTTTATATGTTATAACTGGGATTCAGTGGATGAGAGACTGCTGGGGACGTGGCACTCTTGAAAAGCTTATTTAACAAGAACTTTGCCTAACTTTTTAAGCTAATACCTTTATAAAGTCCTCACCATGTCGGATACAAACTATTAAGAGAAGCATGAATTTTATATTGACGTCCCTGTCTTTTTTTTTTTTGGCAGGTTGAGGGTCTTTTATTTTACTTTTCGTTATGACTCAATTTTCTGACTGCCTTAGTTTGTTTAACTCAGAAGTCCTAGGTGCATTTTTTAAATGACCTCTCAATGTATGTAATGTAAATGGTGTGTGCAAGTTTCTGTCCAAAAGGAACATTTATTTCTTATTTTGTCCAAAAGAAAAAGAAAAATTGTTCTATTCTGTACAGATTCTTATACCGTACTTGTTGTTGTAGTTGTGAGCACCGTCTGCTTTGTGCATTAAAGGATGTGACTTACATCTCTTGTGTAGTTCTCTCTTTCAGCCTCACCGAAGGTGGAGAATTGTGCGTGCAGTGTAGTGTTTTGTTTTGGTAGGGTATTTTCCTCATGTGTGCACTTCTGTGTCAGAGAGGGCAGGTCTCTCTGAAGCTGGAGCAGCAGCTGGTGAGGTTTGGAATGTCCGTTAGTTCCTGAGGGAGTTTGTTTCTCAGTCTCAGACCAGTTCCAAGCAAAACTGTCTCCTGTGCAAACAAGCTTTACTCGCATGGTAAACAGTTTGTGTGCCTGGAGGATGGCATTATCAGCCACAGTCTCCATCCCAAGGGTCTTTCGAAGGGGCCAGACCATGGAGTGCCTTGAAGAGAAGGACAGAGACCTAGCATTTGATTTGATATGCTCTGGGAGGCCTGTGTAGGGAGTGAAGGCCAGTCCGATGTATTCCTGGTAGTTTGTATTGCTGAGGAGGTGCGCTGCAGCATTCTGTGCTAGTTGGAGGTAACTAAATGCTGAAAGCTTCATGCCCAGGTCTTCTGGCACTGCTGTAGTCCAGATGGGAGGTGAGTAACCCTGGGACTTTTGATAGCAGGAATAACTGAAGCCCCGAGATGGGATGTAAACTTGTAGCCAATCCAAGGTGATGGTAAGTGTTGTAGGTCTTGCTATATGGGAACTTTGCAGCAGCGAGGAATCCAGGACCCTCTGAATTGTATTGGCCAGTTATGGTGCACACCCTCAACCAAAGGCAGACTTGCACCATGGCTGCAGACTTTTCAGAGTCCTTCCTTCTGCCAACCAGCATCCCCCTCTGTCTTGCTAGAGTTCAGCGTCAACTCGCTGTTCCTCATCCAGGAGCTGATCTTCTCCAGGCACTGGGCCACTATAGAGGCAGTGGGAAGGTCATATCTGGTGCAAGTTGGGTAGAGCGTGGGTCAGTATTAGTGCTTTCAATGTAATGTGTGTTTTCAGCCCAGAGCGGATGGGGTTAACTCATACTTGGAGGATGGCATTTGGCCTTGGCACAACAGCGAGAAGATTTAGTATACAACCGAGATTAGCAGTTCTCTCGTGGGATGTGGATTGCCTGTATGGTAAAGGAAGCAGGTGTTATGACTGACCTTTTGGTCAATCATTGGCTTTTCCAGCATCCACTCCTGCCCTGGACAGAGGTCCCTTCATTAGTGGACGGTGCTGAAGGCTTCACACCCAGGTATATGGCAGTGCAGACCTGGAGACTGCATTAGTAAATGTATCCGGACCCCCTCCTTAAGAGGTGGGGGCTCATTTTCTAGGCCAGCCTTAGAGATCTTTCTGTTGTTCCTTTATTGTTGGAATATGGAGGCTGTGGTGCAGGTGATCGTGGAACTGATGAGTCTTGCTGCTGCTCTTAAAAATAGCCCCGGGACTTTTGATAGCAGCTTTTTGGAACTGGAAATCTTCAGGTGGACATGCAGAGTGCGGGTACTAGTGCACGCTGAGTGTTACAATGAGACCAGTAAGCCCTTTCCAGCTGTACGTCTCAAAACACTTTCCAAAGGTGGCTGTGTATTGGGTAAGTGATACTGACCTAGCCAGTTCAGTGGCCAAGCTGGGAACAACCCAGGTTCTCTGCCCCTACTCCCATGCCCCAGTGATCGGTGCTGCTTCCCTTGCTGCTACATCACATACATCAGGTCGGTTTGTCTTTCACTTTTTGCGTTTGTTCATTCTTCCCATACCTGAGAATGAGATCTTGGAGCCAAGAGCCTGTGAGTGAAGCGATGGAAAGTAGCACCCCTTGTGGATATATTCATGCAGTTTCATTGTCAGTATTTTAATGCAGCTATTATCAGTATGTTTTAGTGATTCTTTTGGTGGAATGCATTGTTCAGTTTTGTACTGTACACCTATTTCACGTCCTTTGGTTTTTGTCATAATTCTTGGACTCTGACCTCGCATTTCCTTTTTGAGGAGCTGGAGTGGTCATTGTCTTTATGCTGCACTCTTCGCCTTGTGCCATGGTGCTGCAAACCCTCGACTGTGTGCCTCTGTGCGGACTTGAACAACTCCTTGCTGAAGAGTCTCTTGATCTTAAAATCACAGATGGTTTGTTTAAACCGTATTCCCAAAGTACATCTACAGTGAATGCATCATGCAAAAGTATCTACCGGCACATTGGAAAAGAGAGTAATAAAATGATAGGATGTGAAAGAACAAAAATAGGGGAACATTATTGTGTATTAGCGTATCTAGGGAATGGTTAGTTTTCATGTGCATCACTTTGTATTGGTAAGTAAAAACAAGAAAGCACATTCCTAGGGTGAGGCCACTGTCTTGATGTATTTTGTCTGTCCATAAGAGGGTTCTTTCTTCTATTCCTTCACAGGGAGAGAACTTACATATGTTGGGTAATTCCCCCCAATTCACTATGTGCATCTCAGACTATTTATGACATGAAGACCCTTTCCAGAAGTGAGGTACATTCCCACCTACTCACTCCGGGTGATGCAGCAGCCTGCAAATGTCGAGGTACCCAGTCAAGATCCAGTTCCATAGTTGTCCTACGTACAGAGCTCCTACTGCAGTCAGTCAGCAAGATTATAGCATGCAAACCAGCCCTAAACTAGCACCTTCCTGCCCCCAGGCCAAACCCTGGTTTCTTGTTACCCTGTTTTGTTTATGTGCAGCAAGGCTATAATGTTTTGAAGAAAGGTGGCTAGACTTTCTAATTATGACAGGGCAAGGTCTCGATTCACTCTGTTTAAAAGCCTCTTCGGCAACACAGCCCTCCGGCTGACTCTCACCATCTGTGAAATACACAAACAACCCCTTCTGGGGTATGCCTTCAACAGGCCCATCTCAGTGCCCTCTGTGGTGTCCTGAGTCTATTCCCCACTCTGAACGAGAGTAGTGCTCCTATGGCTTCCCTTCCTGGTGATGTCTTCGCCCTCACTTCAGGGTTTTATCTCCAGGTCCCAGAATAGTCAGCTGGTCTGCCATAAGCTCTCCAAGGGAGCTGTCCATGGTGCTGCTGCTCTCAGCCAGCTCCTCATCCAGTTTGCATCCCTTGAGCTCTGCACTGCAACTGGCTGCCAGCCCCAGGGACTATCAAATAATTGTGTAACTGCTAAGATTTGGTACGATTACATGATTATTAAACGACATCTAACATCCCCCATCTGGACCTCAGATACTATGCCTATAGGGAATATCTAAGCATCAGGGGTGGCCTGTTTGAAATTGGCAGAGCCTGGGAGAATGTTGCTGAGATGTGATGATCTCAGGACTTTAACAGCTGCTCTGATTAGTGTCAATGTGGTGAGGCACTGAAAGCTGCCCTTAGCACTGCTCCTAGCCCTGGCTTATGCCTTGGTGGTGGCCAGGAAGGTGCACTGGCAGTGCTAGTGTGCAGGGAACTCATTGAGCTGGGAGTGGGGCCAGCAGGCAGCCCACAACTATAGGGCAGGAGTTGAACCAGAACAGAAATAGAGAAGCTAAAGTGTATTGGGTAACCATTCGAATGGTTAAACTCTTACATCCCTATTTTCATAGCGCCTATTCCCTCCCTGGAATAGTGTTCCTTGAACTGCCAGCAGATGGAAATCCTGGCATGGAGAGACACCGTTTAAGGCCAGTAGGTCCCACCACATCATCTACTTTGACCTCCTCTATCTTACAGGCCACCAGTAACTGTGATGATATGGCTCATTTCTGTGCTCTGAGGGCTGGAGAATGCAGTGGCTAAATGATGCCTGCATGCTGCCTATGTTTCAGCTTTCCCTGTTGCTGGTTCTGGTAGAGCCGAGTGCAGAAAAAAAGCATCATTTTCCGAATGTAGACAAGGGTTAAGATTGTTCTTTTTAATAGCTGGATTACTAGTTTGGGCTGTGCCACAGCCTTCCTGTACGGGAAGGACAAGGGCTTTGTGCATGCTTGGAAATTGGGGGAACCCCCCCCCCCCCCCGCTTGTCTACATACTTTGCTCTAGGAAAGCTGGGCTATCAATCAACCCTGCCCTAACTTGCCACACACTACAACCTTGCTGGTACGTGGATGCATCCTGCTCTAAAATGTGACTAAATGAGAGCGCACCAAAAAATGTTGAAAGTGCAGTAGCAGGGACCAGTCCAACAGCTAGTTCACAGCAGACTGATGGGGGGGGGGGGAAGGTAAGTATCTGTGTCGGCAAACCCGGAGTGCTCTGTGAGCCCATGAGTGCTTATGCTTGCTCACCACCACCATCTACTTTTCCAATGCCAGGATTGGATAAGGCTGAGGTTACAAGCAAATTCATTTTGCTGGTTTATTACGTACCTTATCTGGCAGTCACTTTAAGTCTCTGAAATAGGACTATAAATATTCCCTCTGCCACTCTCACTCTCTCAGACAAGTTAATATCACACAAATGCAAGTGTCATGAAGGACCTCTTATACTTTCTCTGGAGGGGGCTTTTCATTTCCCCAATGCTCTGCAAACAATCAGTGGGAAGAAATAGCTGTGTTTCCCTCTCTGTCATCAGGTAATAAGGCCCTGGCACTTACTGGATGCAGATTATGGAGGATGAGAGGGACCAACCCATGTCATCTACCAAATGATATGGCTGTAGGGCAGTCCTTATAGTGTAAGCGTCCCCTCTCCCAGGCAGATTTATTTCAGCCTCAGCACTTCAGCTGCTATTTCAAGCCCCCTAGCAATGGACCTCATCCTTGTTGCTGATGCCTCACTCACCTAGGCATTCTGCCTGAATAAGAACAGGCATACTGGGTCAGACCAAAAGTTCGCCTAGCCCAGTGTCCTGTCTGCCGACAGTGGCCAATACAAGATGCCCCAGAGGGAGGGATCACAACAGGTAATAACCCACCTCTAGAGAAACAGAGGCTACGGATACTGTTTCTGCCCAGCCTGGCTAATAGCCATTGATGCAACCAACCTCCATGAATCTATTGAGCTCTTTTTTTGAACTCTGTTAAAGTTGTAGTCTTCACTGCAACCACTGGCAAGGAGTTCCACAGGTTGGCTATGCGCTGCATGAAGAAAAACTTCCTTTTATTTTAAACCTGCTGCCTATTAATTTCATCTGGTGACCTCTAATTCTTTTATTGTGGGAATAAGTAAATAATTTTCCTTAATCACTATTTCCACACCACTCATGATTTTATAGACCTCTATCATATTCCCTCCCCCAACTCCTTAGTCTCCTCTTTTCTAAGATGTAAAGTCCAAGTCTTTTTAATCTCTCTTCATATGGGACCTGTTCCAAAGCCCTCATCATTTTTTTGCCCTTTTCTGAACCTTTTCTAATGCCAATATATCTGTTTTGAGAAGAGGCAACCACATCTGCACACAGTCCTCAACATGTGTGCGTACCATGGTTTTATATAGAGGCAATAAGATATTTTCACTCTTATTCGCTATCCCTTTTTAAATGATTCCTAACATTCTATTTGCTTTTTTGACTAACACCTGCACACTGAGTCAATGCTTTTAGAGAACTATCCACAATGACTCCAGATCTCTCTCTCTCTCTCGAGTAGTTATAGCCAAAGTAGTCCCCATCATATTGTGTATATACTTGGGATTATTTTTTCCAATATGCATTTACATTTATCAACATTAAATTTCATTTGCCATTTTGTTGCCCAATCACTGTTTGGTGAGATCTTTTTGAAGCTCTTCACAGTCTGCTTTGGTCTTAACTATCTCGAGCAGTTTGGTATCATCAGCAAATTTTGCCACCTCACTGTTTACCCCTTTTTCTAGCTCATTTATAAATAAATTGAATAGGACGGGTCCCAGGACAGACCCTTGGGAAACCCCACTAGTTACTTCTCTCCACTCAGAAAACTTACCATTTATTCCTACCCTTTGTTTCCTGTCTTTTAACCAGTTATCAGACCATGAAAGGACCTTTCCTCTTATCCCATGACAGCTTACTTTACTTAAGAGCCTTTGGTGAGGGACCTTGTCAAAGGCTCTCTGTAAATCTAAGTATACTGTGTCCACTGAATCCCCCTTGTCCACGTTTGTTGACCCCCCCTCAAGAACTGTAGTAGATTAGTATGAATGGTCTGACAACCATATCTGGGGTAGAAGCTTTGATCCCAGCCTAATGCAGCTTTTTAGCTGTATGAAGGATCTTTGTCAACTGTCAATGCTTAGACAGGGATGGTTAGAACACTCTAGGGCACATTATGGAGGCAATAAGAAAAAAGTCCGAATTGGCCCCATATAAAATCTTTCCATTTTTTACTGCTGCTGATTATCATTAATAGATCGTATTAAAAACATGTTTGAAAATATTTACGAAACACCACAGTGCATTTGCTTCCTTGTGCCTACCATGAGCATAAGGGTGCTTTTTGTCTCTTCCTGAAAGAGCAAAAGATTTTTAACAGCCTAGATCCTGATTCTGTGTATCTGAATTATCACCGCAGGAGACAACAATAAAAGTTGCCCTAAGTGCATTTTACTCTACAGGACACTGTGCCTGCTGTAAATACATTTACACTGATTTTGTAAGCACTGTGGATATGTGACTAAGCAAATGTTATTAGCAGCTTTCCCTATTAAGTATGCTACACCCTGCCCTTGAGAACTGAGTTCATCTGTTGTTTAGCAAATGCTGTAATTTTCTCCCACTCTGAGCAAACAGTGCCCAGAATAGCTACCTCCTTCCCACCTACGTCCTTGGCAAAGGGCTTCCATTTCCTGTTTATAATGCTCTGAACTCATTCCAAATTGATGCAAATCCTAGACCAAGAAAACCCTTCTGGAACATGCTCTGTGCTGACTGCACAATTAGTGAAGGTGCATTGCATCTAATACACTCATGATACTGAGAAGAACAAATGATCAGTCCACAATCTTAAAACATTCTGGGATGAACTTTACCTCGACCCTTAAAAGAACAGCTGAATATGAAATAGGAACAGAGAAATGGAATGGATTTCAAGAGTCATCAAGTCCTGTCCCCTGCTTATTGCAGTTATCCACCTCATATAATCCCATTCAGATAAATGTTATCAAATGCCATCTCAAGAGCTTTGCACATGGACTCAAGGGTAGCAATTGTCCAGCTATTAGAAAATGTCATTTAAGTCCAGTCCAAAATGGTCATGATTCTGTAGAAACTCCTTGTTTTTTACCTGGTAAATTCCCAGCTCAACTCAGAGCTAACGCCAAGATCACTTGTCATCTTATAGCACTTTCTTCTACCCGTGGCAAATAGGGGAAGTTCATGCAAAAGTTAATTTATCTCCACATCCTGCTCAAAAGACCCTCTCCGACTCAAAATCCAAGTCCCCTACTGCAGTGTTAGTCCTGAGTTGTACTCTTAGGGCTTCACTAAGGTTCTTAAGTTTGAGGTGCCTCACTCTGCAAATGCAACAATCGTTTAAATGTATATTTTGTCTTTGGGCATGGTCAGGAGTGCGAGCTACAAAGTCCACAGAGACCAAGACACTTTGTTACAGATGGGAGTGGAGGCCCAGGAGTGTGGATCTTGCCCAGTTGTAGAGAACTTGCTACTCCGGAGATCTGTTCGGTCCTGTTCATGGAGTGCTGATGTCCAGCCCAAAACATCCCACTTCTGAGTGTTGAGCCTGAGGCGACTTTGTAGCTATTCTGGCTGCAATTACTTCAGACGACAGGCTGCTCCTGGGTGCGCGCCTCACACCACTCCCAGCAATAAACCTCCAGCTTACAGGCTGTTTCAGGGCTAATTAGACATTTGTTCTTCAGCTCCTGGATAACAGATCTCAGTGCCTCTCTGCGTTGTCGCTCCCTGTCTAAAGTGTTCTTCAGCCGTTCTTTGGCATCTTCGAGCTCACTGATTACCTGGTCTAATTTACACTTCAGTTTCTTTGGGCTGTCCATTACACTGTAACTGTGCTCCTGGAAACAAAGTTCAGTACATTAGATGTTCTCACCTTTCCCAAAGATCTCACGCTTCCATCTGTTCTCCCCATTCAGCCAGACGGGGGCTAAGACTGTTTAAAAATCTGAACCTACTGGCCATCACCCTTTGCAAAACTGTGTGTAGGGCGTGTGCTGTTTGCCTTCGAGCTAGTTCACTATTAGAAGTGGAGCTGCTCCTACCGCTCTCAGGTGCACAATAGGTGTGAGGCAGGTCCTTGAACTGAGGCCCTAGCCAGGCCCCCTGAGGGGAGGGAGCAAGAGGTTCAGTTGCCCCAGGGCCCGGTGATTCAAAAGGGCTGGAGGCTCTTGACTGCTGTTACCGCAGCAGTGAGGGGTGGGAGGATGAAGCCCCAGACCCTTTAACTTGCTGTTCCCAGCAGCTCTGAGGAATGGTACCATGTGCTCTGGGCAACACCGAGGGCTGGCTGCCTCAGCCACACCCCTTCTGTCTGAGGTCCCCCCTTTCAGGAGCATGGAGCCGCACCCCCTTATCCAGGGGCTCAACAACTCTGTCAGCCCTTCTGGCCCTAACACAAGTAAATACAGGGACACTGAGCCAGTTGCCCTGCTGACCTAAGATGATGTCATTTCCTGCAGTTACACTGGCAGAGTGTGCGCTCCCCTGTGCTGAAAGTCTTCTATTTAGGTGGTTCAAATAAGTTGGTTTACTTACCAAGATAAACTGGGAATGTAATTCTCCGGTACTGGAAGCCAAATCCGCCAGCTGGTGGTTATGAACAGTTACCGGCAGTGTCTTCAGCGGGGAGTTTCGTCTGCCATGAACTCTCCCTCGTCTCAGCTGTTACAAATATATATTCATTTCACACTTCAGTTACTGAGAGAGACACATCAGGGAGAGCTGGGATCGTGCAGGCTAATGTGCTGTTGCAGTGCTTGGAGGCAGGAGAAAGATGATGTGAGGAACAAGCCCCACTCCACCATCTGTGAATTGGGATGCTAAAAGTTTTTTTTTAATCAGTTTGTGCAATGACAGCCAGGTCTCAGAGTATGAGCTCTCCTGGGTCCCATCTAATAGAAGCTTCACAGCCCAGTCTTTTTTTTGTATGTTGGGAGTTTATTTAAATAAATAGATTTGTATTACAATGCCCAGTAAAGGATCAGGAACTCGTTATATCAGGTATAAAGTAAATGCCTGCTCTGAAGAGCTCCCAGAATAAGCATTTGGCTAGACTTGAAGCGATCAATTTCATTTTTCATTTTTTATGTACCGATTTCTTGTTCTGATTCAGCGATTATTAATATAAAAGCCTTAGTTTAAGGACATAATCCTGTAGTTTCCTCTGGCAGTGCTGCCTGAATAATGAGAGAAGGAGCAGATCCAGAAAGATGCTAATCTTTGGGCACAAAATTTTTCCACCTCTTCTCCTGCCACCTAGTGATAATCTGAAAAAAGAAACATCATCTGAGTGCTGTGTAAAATGCAGGGAAAGCCTGCCAGTGTCTGCCGATACAGTTAAATAGGAGAACAATCACCTGCAGACTGTAAAGACCAACCTGGAAGTGAGAAGGAAATTCAAAAATGGAAGGGATGACTCCAGGTTTGAGCCTGATGTTGGGACCTCTTGTGTCAAAGTCTGACTTCTTAAAATGGCGTGAACATAACACATCTGCTTTCTTAGGCTCCCACATAGCTGCAGAGTTCACATCAAGCCTTTTCATGGCCAACACCCACCTTCTTTTGGCCTCCTCATTGGTGGGGAATCTAGGACAAATGTGCAGACAGGAAAGCAAGTTGACTACAAGGCTCTAGCCTTGTAAAAGTATTTGTAACTTGTGATTGTAAAAGGGCAGTCACATGTAAATTATGTTCATTACTTTAAACAGCGTGTAGCCTATTTATGATTGTATGCAAGTTGACACCCATCCTACCAGCAATGCCCCACTCAGATGCTGGCAACACCTAGCAGACTCCTCCCTGTGCTCTGGCTCCAGAGCCAA